AAATAATCCAGCCAACTGAGAATCTTAGCCCGTTGAGTAAAAATTTATAATATAATAAATTGATCAGTGTGTCTTGAAACATTGTCCAGTGATTCTTTAAAGATTTTATGATTCGCAAAAGAAAACCATAATTAATAAATAATAACACAAACAAGAAACCATTGCTGTGATTATTGTTTGTTCTTTTGTTGCACGACATGTCAATACTCAGAAAAACAAAATGCAAGCGACTCACCATAAGATGTGAAGAATAAGTTGTGATCGATGTAATTATAGCGCGGAACAAATCATCGTCAAATCCGTCACCAAACAAAAATCATTAGATCTTATGAGATAAGTGAAGGAAAGTTGAAAGAAATCTGTAATAAAGTATTATAATTTATTCTTCAAAGGCATGGTGTTGATCATCTGGAAAGCTATGAAATAATGAAAAATATACAAAATATAAAGTTACCTGCATCCTTGATTTTTGAACGTCCGCCATTACAGTGAATCAAATATGGCGCCTTTTTCTTGGAAGTTGAGTAAAGCTACGCAGATGATGTAAGCGCAGAACGTATTCAAATCTGTCCATAATAGCACTCCTTCCTAAAAAAGGAAAGATTTTATTAGTGAAATAAATATATAAACGACTAAATTATGACTAGAAATGACGCAACAATTACAACCGAATGCTGTTTCGATCGTTTAGAATACAGTAAATAGTTACCAGTAAATATAACCAATAAAAAGATGTTCGAAGGAATAAGAATAAATTTGATAAATCATCGAGTAAAAATGTACGTTGATCAAATAATGTTAAGAACAGCGTAGCCACGACCACGTGAAAAGATGACGATAAAAGAATTACATTGTTAATAAATGTCACGCGCAGATTGACACGTCCGTATGCTATGAATTTCGACACTAGACTACCCCTCCCCGCGCAACAGGTTCGCGCCACGAACTAATTCGATGGAGTGGGGGCCCGAGCACGCACGAACAGAGTCTACCTGATTTAAGGAAAGGATTTATGCTATATAATTACTACAACCATACGCTCTAATTATCAACACGAATAATTTATGACTTGTAGCATTTTGACACACGATTTCAAGTATAGATTCTACTCGATTTGAAGTATAGATTCTACTCGACAATTTTATTAGTACGAGTGACCACGAATTTTCAGGATGCTTTACAATTTTACGAATAATATAGTTATATTTATATGGATATAAAAGTTTCCTATGTTAAGTATTCAACTATTTTCTTGACAACATTCAGAAATACATACGTATGTGTGTATATATAGGTATACATGGAAGTATACATTTCTAACCAACGAAGGACTGCATTGAATATATGTATGTATTTTTAATTAATCATTGTACTAAATCGTAGACGATCTAATTGCTTTGATTGTAATTTTTACCTGAAAAATTCTAGATGCTCCTTCTTGCTGCATATCCCGCCTAAATCTGACATGTATTTGACATTTATACATGCATTTGTATTCCACTATTATAGCTATAGGGAATTGTACATTTTTTAATTGCGTATTTCACCGTTCCATTGGCGCTGCGGTCTTTACTTTACATATTTTTTAATCTAGTCCAGAAAGTACAAAAACCCCTTTCTCTAAACATTCTCTAAATTTTTTTGTTCTAAAATAATGTTCACAAATTCTCTATTATTATATTATTGTGCAAACGAACGGTAAAAGGAGTTTTAAGAAACAAAACCGACGAGAAGTAAACCAACGTGAAATATATTAAAATACAAATCAAAGTTCAAATTGAAAATAATTATAATTAAGTTATATTATTTAAAATATTTTACATATTTAAAGAAACAATAAAAATTGTTTCGCATATATTACAGTAACAAACGTATCATTCTATAAAATGTGCTTACATTGAATTTATAGATGTTAACTATCTTGTGATTAACTGCGAGATCCCTCGTGGTCCCACGGTACCCTGCTGATAATACTTTACTAATCAGCTAATTGTTCCTACAGTTCAGTTTAGATCGTGAAATAAGGGACAAAATATTGCGTAGTTCTTAGCTTGATATCGTTTTACAAACACTAAAGTTTAACGTTTATCGTTTTACAACTTAGCCTGATAACGTTTTACAAACTTTAACGTTTGCAAAACGATATCAATTACCAGGTCTCACCACGAGGAGGTGACTACGC